TTCATATATTATGTGGCATTAATTTAACTATAGCTCATTAAGGCAGAATGAAATGGTTAAATTAACTTATCAACCCATAATGATGATGAATGAGGTATTAATTCAGATACAAGCTGGGCAATTTGCAAGTTTACGCATTCTGATGGTTCTCAAATAACATTTTGAATAGCGGGTCAGCGCCTCAATCAATTACATAAGCATGTAAAGTCGGTCTCTCGGAAAAAAATCCTTTTTCATGCATATGCATTAAAACATGTTCGCAATTATCCTCGGAAATTGCCTTCATTGGATTAAGCAGCAGTCTTGGACGCTGGTTCTGGTCTTCCCTGCGCCTTTATTAAAGCTGGGAGCAGCTCTGGCTGCAGCAGCCGAGGCGGGGTGTTTGTTTAAACAATGTTTACCAAAGAGAGGCGAAAGCGCTGCACTGTGGTGCGGGGGTGTGCATGCGTGCTTGTGCGTGTACATGTGCGTGTTTTAACAACAATAGGCAAAACTCTTATGGAAACGCTTCCCTGAATTCTCCAGCAAATCCATCTCTCTCCAAAAGAGCCAGCAAGTCGCTTAGAGGGAGCACTTAATGTTTCCGAGGATGCAATTAATTACTGTCCTCAAAGAGAGACTCCTGATAAGTGTTTTTTACTTGGACTCCGCTTAGGGCTCTTGACTCATTATCCATGAGCGGTCTGTGTAGGAGGAATATTAGATGCGCGGGGCTGACACTCGGCTTTTACATGCTGCGTTGTGCAGCGGACGCAATGGCAGGGGGAAGTACTAATTACCTTCAGGCTAGCTATTAACGCACTTTTCCAACATTACCTCGAACGGGCTGAAGTTAGTAATCAGCAAGAAAAGGGGCACACACGGATTTCGACAGGTCCGCGCTAATGGAAGAGGAGCTCACAGATCAGCGTGAGGGTGATGATGACCGAGACAGTGTTTCAGGAGGACCTGAAATAGCAGCTTCACGCCTGACGGAGCCATTGGGCAGGGGAGCAGCCCGAGCCTTCCCCGGGCACACAGGGAATTTTAGACTTGTCGGATCTGTTTCAAAATGTTACGGCCCTCTCCGCCGCCTGCCTCTCTGCCAGCAAGGCCTCGGTGGAACAACATTGCGAATGCAGGGTTCACCCTTAAAAATCCCCCGCCCGAGGCTGGCCCTGTGCCGCCGTGCCCTGGCAGTGGGCTGGAGTCCTGGGCAGCGGATGGCAGCCAGGAGGGGAGTCCCGGGAGGCGGGGACACCGGCCGGATACGGCTTCTGACTCCCTGCCTTGGACGTGGAGCCAAGGGTGAACAGAAATGGGTCTTCTCGCTCCGTCATACGGCGAAGCCATTTCATGTTAATTAATCCCCGCCAAATGACAAAACCAGATATGACTCTCCTTTTCCATGACAAGAAAGTATATATATTTTTAATGATTTGGGTCGATTTCCGTACGAGACCGGGCAGGAAACTGCAGCTCTCCTTTATGTGCTGCCTCGCCCCACTTCCAGGCAGGACTGCTTCCTTCTCAGCTCTTTCTCCTCTGGCACCGGCTCCACTGCTCCCGGTGACCAAACCGAGCGCTGCGGCTCGGCGAGGGGAAACGCCAAAGCCCGGGTGAGAGCCGCGCGTCCTCAGCCCCCCTAGCGCTGGAACATCACCATCAGGGAGGGGACAGGACCCGCAGGCCTGCCCCTGTCCCGCCGAGGCGAGAGGCGGAGGGAGCTAGCAGGGAGCGCTGCAGGATGTACCGCGGCTCCAGCCGGCTGCCCACGCTCGGGGGACGGGGGGAACGTGTCGGGGAGAAACTTTGCAAAGCTTCGGTCTGAGCGGAGAGACGGGTGAGACGGAGCCCCGTAGTCCCGGCGGGAGCAGAGGCTCGGCCTCAGGTCCTCGACGCTCCCCGCACCTGCCGGGGACCTGCCGGGGAGCCCGACCGGAGCAGGGCAGAGGCTTGGGCCGAGCAGAGCCCTCCGGGAAGGGGCAGGCAGGGGAGAGGGAGGACGCGGGGATCCCCAAGGAGGCGGCGGCAGCCGAAAGCGGTGCCCCGCACCCGCCCCGGGTGGGACTGGGTTCTCTTGGCAGTCGCTCAGAGCGGCCTCGGGCGGCTCCTCGGACTCGCCGCGCGATTGTCGACGGCAGCGCCTTCCCGGATGGAAGCGCGGAGCTCCGGCAGCTTGGCACGCTCGGGGTGTGAGTGTCCCGGCCCCGCTGGGCTAGTGCGGGGGTCCGCCCCGCTTCGAGGAGACCCCTTGGCTGAGGATCTCCGGCACAACGCTCAGTTCTACGGGCTGTGATTACAGCAATATATCTCTACCCTGCTTAGCACGCTCGCGTGTCAAGGGTAGTGTTTTAGAGAGGGTGCGAGGGGCAGCAATTCATAAGGGGAACTGACAGTTCTCTGATGTGAAAATGATGCCCGTTTCTTTACTCCAGGGTGCACAACCGAAGAAAGATTACACAGTTTAAAAAGAGAAATTTAAACCCAGATGATAATAGTAACGAGCCAAGGAGACGCAGTAGGGAAGTCAATATTACAAGTAGAAAAGCAATCTCTGAAGGCCTTGCGTGGCCTGTTGGGTCTGAGAGAGTGAAGATGAATTCCTGATAAATCATGAATCATGGATGGTTTTTTCAGCTGAAGATTTGTCCTCGCACAGGTTCTCATGAACGTCAGCCTCTGGTCCCGGGGGCCTGTGGTGCCGCTCCAGGCAAGGCCTCGTGCACCCGCAGGGGCAAGGGAGGCTCGGCTCTCCCACTCCCACTTTCTACTTTCATAGAAAGGCCTCTCATGACAGGGGAGAAAACAACCCAACGTCATCTTAGTTGTTTTCTTTATAAAATGAAGTGAGGGACAGATTCTGGTTTGAAGTACTTTTTTTAAGAAATAATCAATCAATCAATCAATCAATCAATCTCCCTCCTCCCTGCCGGGGTGTAACACAGCAGGCAGGGCTGCCTGTCCCTGCCCTCCCCGCACCGTGAGGCTCCGGGCTGCCAAGCCCTCAGCTGCCTCCCTGGCGTGTCCCGTGGGAGCGCTCCTGGACAGCCCCGCCCCGGGAGGGACAGCCTGTGCTCCCTGCCCGAGCCGGCACGGACTTCCTTCCAAAGCAGCTGCTTCAAAGCCTTTCTTTTATAACCACTGGCAAGAGATTATTAAGACATTATTAAAACTCGATTCAGAGCACCTTAATGAGACTTTTACTTATTAGCGAGGGGAGAGAATTTCAGAGGAGTGCTCAGTTAACCCGTGTCTATAGTTTCTAGACTATGCAAATGAGGCTTTTCCATTCAGCTTCTCGTGGCATTATTCTCCAGCTTGAGGTGGTCGTCAGGACCAGAGCAGTTTTATACGAGAAAACAATCAAGCTGATTCTAAGCATAAAATCGTTTCGGGGTATTTGCTATTGAGCAAAGACATTTCTAGGGTGCTTGTGGTGTGTTTCTGAGAGGGGTAAAACTCCCCCACTGTACACACCAGCCAGCAGGACACCTCCGAGCACAGTTTTTTGCAGTCTGCTGCACTTGTCAGGAAAACAAAGCTTTCCCTTTCCCAAACTTCCATTCCTTTGCTAGTCTGGACTCAAAATTTCCTATCTCAGACAGTATCGAGAAGCCTCCACACGGCAGTAATCAGGCAAAGGAAAAAACGCGTCCTCAAGGTAACTAAGAAAGGCTCTGAAAAACTTCAGAGTGGAGAAACACGAGCGAATACATTTTCCAGTGCAGATTTATTATGGCTTCACTCCGTTTTGCTGAGTGCGAGTCAATCAAAAGGAGAAATATCCGTTCCCTTTGACAGCGAGCGAGTCTTAAAAATTACGGATCGAATCCAAGTTTCAGGAGTATTGGAAAAGTACTCAGAAACCCGACCTCGAGCCTTTTGGGTACCTCTTCGTGAGCACAGTTTCGTCCCCTTCGGGAGCTGCCTGCTTTGGAAGAGCCGGGATAGCGGCCGAGGGGAGCCGCGGGGCCCGGCCGGGGCGGCGGCCGCGCCGGGAGGGGCTGGCAGCGCCCCCGGCCCCGCGGCACCCAGGCTGCTCCTCCAGAGCCCGGACCCTGCTCAGCCCCGTTAGCAGCACTTGCCCTGCTTAACAGCCAGTGGCTTTGCTGGCCCGAGCCTTTTGGAATTCGTTTTACCAGGTCAGGTCTATTTAGGACCCAACGTCGTCCCCCCCACCTCATTTTACTTCATTTAAAACACAAGGAAGATGTTATTTGTTGTCGAACTAAATAGACCATATCACCTCTAGTTAAATTTGTAAATTGCATTATGCTGCTGCTCTGGTTTTGTTTTCATAATTTTTAAAAATCTGAACAAATCAATTATATTAGCCATATGGCTTGATCACGTCATCTAATTTTCATTTTTGTAGAGTAATTGTTGTTTAAACACTGACAACTTATTAGTTAAGGTGTTTAGGAAAAATCTCTCCAGTCCTGTCTTATTTAAAAGATGATTGAAATGACAATGAATACTTCAAGTAAAGTCATTAAACAATTCCTCCCAGTATTTTTCACTTTCTATGTATTTAAAGAGTTCACAACAGCAGTAGCTGAGCTGCAGTCTGATTTATACTTCTGAAATGGAGGCCACAAGACCATCAGGCTTTCAATTCCAGTTTGTAATGATTCACTTAAAAGGAGCACATTTTTGGTATGCAGCACTTAAGCAGTAATTTTTCTTAGTTATTTTTAAGGTGTATAGTATTGAGAATGTACAAGTGGTTCCACTCTGGCATTTGCTCACTGCAAATAAAAAACTTCACCCCTCAGTGATCTTAATATTTTGTCCATTAAATGTACTTGCTCATTTAAATGGGAGTGTATTTAACCGCTAGACAGATGGTCTACAGTGCGCACAATTATAAAGCAAGGGTCTGTGCACATTGCCATATTCTGGGCTCCAGATTTCCTGCTTCCCTATACATTTTTGCAAGTGGTTTATTTTTCCATACAAAATACTAACACAGGTGGAGAAGCAGTCTGGAACTCATTTCTACTATCAGAGATCCAGAGCACAACCCTTCAGGCAACCTTCTTAATTTTCTGTTGAGGATTTTAACTACTTTGTACTTCAGATTTTTAGAGCATTTAAAAAACAATTCTGTAATTCTCTTTAGAACACTAGGATTTTAAATATTTGACAGAAGTTTCTGATAATGTTTACTGTATTGAGAAAACCCAGAAAAACCTTCTTAGCCCCACATCAGCAAAACTGAAGTGGTGAGCAGGCAGTGAGTAGTGTATTACAAATTAAAATGTCACAAGAAAATGTAGAAAATTAGGAAACACCAAAATGGAGGTTTGCATTACAAACTGACTACATTCACTGTGGGCCTGTCTCACCCCAGCACAGAGGAAGCTGTTGTTCACTCACTGATCAGTAATTAAGCATTTATCTGATCCAGGGAGGGCTCTCAGCCCATGATTATTTCTCATGCAAGATCCCGACTCCGGGTTAAATACAGATTTGTTATTTTTCTGACCAGACTGTTTATGCATTTGCTTTGTATGTGCCGTGGGGGACACTGGCCTGATAGTTTTAGTGTAGTTAGAAATATTAGTTGCTCATTGCTTTGCAAAACAAAATTCTGAATGTGATTTGAAAACCATAACATGGAAAATACTTTTTGTAAGCAATTAATAAAAGCCAGATTTAAATGTTGTGCTTAGCACTGTATGGAAATTCTGTAGCAAGGCAGAGGTTCAATTATATTAATAAAGTCAGAATTTATCTATTCTAGGATACCATTCTCTCCCTTCAGCAAAGCATTTCTAGCATAACTTAAATTCTCCTGCAAATAGTTGGCATTTTACCAAGATCTTCTATGATTCAATAGCAGGAAGAGGAAACATCAAAACATTGAAATCCAATTGTCAGATCAAGGAGTGAACCTCTTGTAAAGGGCACAGGTCCCTCTCATTGTTTCCACTGACTCCTTTTGTTCATGTTAGGTCTTTCTCATCCCCTTCCCTCAGTGCAATTGCAGACTTACCACTGATTATCAAAACTTAGACATTCCAGTTGCCCCAAATAATCTCTGTGGACCTGAACTTTACTGACTTGCCTATGACTCATTATCTAAACCTACGTATGGAAATACAGATATATTGGGAATTTGCATGAGAGAAGTTTAAAAGAATGGGTAAGAGCAGAGGTGATAGTTTGGTTTGAAGGGATCTGGTGTCTTTGAGGGGAAATAATATTATTTTCTTTAAGGAGGAAGGGTCCGATTTTTTATTGTTCATCCTGTCCTTGCTGATCATTGTAGTCTCTTTCTCATGGCAGAGTCCCAAACCATTGGAAGGAAACTAATCCAGTCAGAAACGTGAATGAGAAGGGAAAAAGTAGGGCAAAGAATTCCTGACCTACATTTGCAGCCACTCAACTTCATAGAGAGAAATAACATTTTAGTATGCTAAAAGTGAATAAAAGTTGCTTTTCAGATATGCAGTGAATCATTTCTAGTACCTTATAAAGCATTATTTGGTTGACAATGTCTCTTAAAATATCTGTTTATGAAATGCATTGTTACTTCATGAAATTTACCATTTTGCACCATGAAAAACAACCCTTTTTCTCTGAAAAGAACAACAACACAGACTTAGCAGAAAAATCTTTAATGTCAAGAAATGGGCAAGATGTCAGTTTTATGCTGCATCAGAAAGACAGATATATGTATTTCACCATTTCTCCTATCCTATTTATGATTGTTGCAATCACAAATAATGTAGCTGATGTCTAGTATCTCCTTGGCCTGTCTGTATTGCTACATCTTGCTCCGAAGGTGCCAGCACTTTGTCATATAAATTTCTCTTCCTTGGGTTTTTATCTAGTATTTAACTCTCTGTTCTTCAGGGGTACAGGACAGTGACTCCATGGTCTGTAGTGCCTCCCTTTACAGAGCTTCAGCTGTGCAAAGGCCATACCCCAAAATACCTGACATTAACCTGGAGGATGTGTTTCTTAACAAAAAGATGGAATCACAGTTTTTTGCCTGTGTGTATTACAACTTAGATGGTACAATTCAGATGAGAAAACTGGACAGTGATGGTTTTTATTTTGGTGAGTGGCATGCCGTATCTTATAACACATCACAGTGCCGTCTCATATTCTCTAAAGGCACCTTCTGTATCTTGCTTTATAAAGAATTATTTCCAAATCAAGTAAAGGAAACTTTTAGCTAATTTTCATTAACTTATTTCCAGTTCACATGTTAATTTACCAACTATTATTTAGATTTGAAAAGAAAAAACGTATCACTGTGCAGTCAGGTCTTTGTAATGAATTTGTAAATGTTAAAAACAATACATCTGTCAATTTTTGGATAATGGATGGCCTGCTTGAAAACATGATTACACATGGAAGTTCCACAGTTGATTTGTGATCAGATCACGACTTCTTAGGAACCAATTTTTAAAGAAAGTTGATCTCTGCATGCATCTGTCTCTATCTTCCTATCTTCTATATTGTCTCCAAGTAGCTCTCTACTGACAGACCTCTGGACAATGTCCT